GCTGTTCATTTTGTTCGACCAACAAGGAAGTTAATACTAATTAATATTAAATATCTTCTAATAACACAAGAATGAAAAATAGGATTGTTTATTTTAAAAGATTACAGAATGCAAAAAATCTCAAATCACGTAATTTTAAATTTTCGTATAATATTATATATATAATAATATTATATTTATAATATTATATTACAATATATTTTATATAAATAATATTATATTATAAAATAAATTCGTTAATACTTCTTTTTAAAAAATTTTCGCTTTTGTAGCATTCTCTCTCTCTCTCTCTCTCTCTCTCTCTCTCTCTCTTTCTCAAATATTTCCGAATGTATAAAGCAATAGTTAAATTTATCGGAATCTTTCACAATATAAGTTTATTTCTGATTTCCAACGTGATATGCAAGTTAAACACGTATTGTGTATGAATAAACAATTTTTTTTATTGAAACTACTAACACCGACTGGTTCATGTGACTTGTAAGCAAATGACGCACTCCAGATGAAACCGGTAAAAGCCGGTGTGTTGCAGCACGTATCGGTCGTCGAAAGGTGTCATCGGCCTGCTTGCCAAAGCTACATCATGCTTTAATTTCGTCTTGTTTTAATAATCTTTCGTAAATCGTATATTTTTTAAATAAAAATTATATCACAATATTTTAGATCATATTAAAAATTTCACATATTATTTTATACATTATGCCGTAGTGTACTTTTATCTCTGATTGACTTAACCATGATCTTTATTAAGCAAAGTAATAAAATATTATACATTGTTATAATTTAATGAATTATTAAAATTATTTAAAGGATTGTTTAAAGGACGTTAAAAATAAATTATTTTATGCATTTTTGGAATAAAAAAATGAATAAAATGCATTTTATTATGAATATTAATTATGAATATTATCTAGTATATCGTATTTGTAGATATAAATGATTTTAAAAATACGGCAAAATGCAAAACAATTACAAGATCTTACTATGTATTTGAAAATCATTAGGTTGTGTCTTAAACTCGACAAGAAAAGAATAGACTGCTCAATGCTGCACTATAGCGTATTCAAAATTATAATTTCATTAAAACTTATGATAAAAAATTTAATTTAATAAAATATTCTGAATTTGCCTATGAAAAAATTTAAAATACATTCCGAGTAGCACATTGGCGAGATGTTCATTAAACATTGACATGCATTAGGGATATATTAAGCCAATATTACGCCAATAAATAATGCTACTACGGATATAAGCGTACTCCACGAAAAGTTTCATTCTAAACCGAAAACTTTTTTTGTAGGAAACCAGATCATCAATGTAGAATGCCGGGCATGGGCGAAGAATATCGAATACAGTTCAATTAGATCCGAAAAGAAGGGTGCAGTACATTTTGAACTGATGGTCGACGAATGATTGTACGTTACAGTCGTGGAGATCGTCCTCGACATCTCTTTCATAGTTTTATCATATTTTTCGAATAAGAAACTGTGCACGAAACAAAAGATGTACGTTAAATAGTACTTCGTGTCTAGATTTTCGATTACGATGATAGACAATCGCTCGTGCCTAGAAAAAAACAGTAGATTAATAAATTTATTATCTTTTAAAGATATTGCTCACATATGTAATTAACTAATAGGAATTCTTGCTTATCGAGCCACTAATTTGAATTTTTAATCTTAGAAAATTTTTGTTGCTTTAACAGAAAAAATGCTTTTTGTTGATTTACAGGTACGTACAAACAAGATCATGGGAGATATATAGAATGATGACTTTCGTTCAACGTTCTTCAAATTCTTAGCGTTATTCATATCATTGTATATAATTAAAAACTTATTACTAATTAAAAATTGAACATATTACATATACTGAAAATTTAAAATTTTTCTATAAATTTATTTTTTAAATTACTTTAAAATCCGAAGCGCCACTACGGTCTGAGTATTGAGATGTTGAATAATATATATATTTTCAAACAAATGAATTAATTTCAGAAATGATAATTACGTGCCGATATGGTTGTCGGCATTAACGCAATTGATCTGAAATATTAATAATCCTCTCAAATTTCCCAAATTAATCTTAATCATTTGTTTGAAAATATATATATTAGTTCAACATCTCAATACTCAGACCGTAGTGGCGCTTCGGATTTTAAAGTAATGTTATTTAACATAAACGGTTTTGTTTTCTATCTTATATTTTTTAAATATTTATTATCTTTGGCTCCCTAAAAAATTTAAAATTTTAAGAAATTCAAGCTAGAATAAAGCTAAATTAAATTTAAATTTAAATGTTTCAGGAAAAAGGGATTTAGAAATGTAAAAAAATATTCTATGAACAAACTATACGACACAATAAATTAAAGAATCAATTCTTCTTTTAAAAAGAAAATTTTTTAGAAATTGTAACTTTGTCAAAAATAATTGCATTGAGATTCATAAAAAATATTGTTATAAAGTTTAAGTTGCATTATTGATAGACAGATGTAAATTTATTGTTTCCCTAAAAATCATAAACGCCATTTACAATTTTGTATTATATCACATAGAAAAACTTAATTTAAATGTAAACAATATATAAGAATCTTAATTTAATCTTAACTTAATCTAGCTTAATCTAATAATTTAATCTACTCTAACATATTCTAAAGAACGTACATAAACACATTGATTTATTTGCTTTCCAATTATCACAACTTCAAAACCACGCTCAGATTTCTTTACAATATATATATTATATATAAAATAACGATCTTTATAGCAATAAATGTTCTTTGTTAATTTATTATGCTGTAAATTTAATATTCATATTTTATTAGACATTTTATAATAAAAATATAAATGCAAAATGTATTTTTATTCATTCAATTTGAAAATAAAAACTGATAAATCGGTAATGCTATAACACACTGTTATTTTTGACAATGATGATAATTTTTAATATACAATTTTTATCTGAAAAAATTATATTTTATATTATTTTATAACAATGTATGAACTATTAATTATACAGCAATCGTTCGTGTCAAACATTCATTAATTTTTATACTACTTTATTATTACATGATCTCAATGCGATTATTTCGACAGTTACAGCGAAATTTAAAAGTTCTTTTAAAAAGGGATGATTATTTATTCTTTCACATAATATAAATAAGTTTTTATATTCCTGATGAAAAAAATTCTGATATCTCATATTTTTAAAAATTATTCATACTTTAAATTTATAAAAATTTCTAGAAGTATTTCTACTTTAAATTTCTTCAAATTTTATAAGCTTTCTTCAGAAATGATGAATTTAAAATTTTATAATATTTCAGAATTCATACGTGCAAATACAAAATTTTAGAAAAGATTTATTTATTTCTTTTAAAAAGTGTTATAACTTGTATAAAAGATCTGAGAAATTGTCTAAAGAATTACAAAATTACAGAAATACTGAAAAACTATATGAAAAGTTATAAGAAAATTTTTCACCGAAGAGTTTTAATAATTTTGTTTAGTATTTGAAGATCTATACACACATAGTATCAAAAATATTAAACACGCATTTAAAAAAAAGTTGACATAGATCATAAAAAATATAACTAATTTTCATATTAAAATATTGTTTTAAAAATGAAACATGCAAATTATATAATTATTTTTGGAGTATCCTATATACCTCTTATCCTATTATCTTGAATTATTTGTACGTATCACTTAGAATTAAATAAGCTATACTTAGATATGCTCGAATATTAGATATGTCGATATGAATAATTTGCTTGCAAAGCATCCTGGTACTTATCGAGGTGTAGGTGTAATAATATAAATTGTACAGAATGAAATAATGTCGCGTTCTATAATAATTATTTTTTAAATAAACGATAATGATGGAAAAATAACTCGACGTACAAGTACAAACGTCTTTTTAAATAAGTGCGAGCATTGTGTAATCATTAATTTATTCATTGCAATTATATGCTGATGTTAATTTATTATCCTTACTCCTTGGCTCCTTTGTAAGTTTATTCTGTATGTTATAGATTGTATAAGTAAATTATCCAAGAATAATGTTCTTACATATATTACGGACATTTGCAATATTCAATAAATTATCTAAGTTTTAAAAACGTAATCTATTAAAAAAACATTAGGTACACATATGTTGTCCCACGTCAGCGATACTTATATCCTTCTTACATGAATGAGGATTTTGGGATTACGCACAATGATATCTGTTTGACAACATGATAAATCATTGTTTTTAACATTCTTTTTCTTCCGTTTTGTCACAAAACTTTTTAGCGTTAATATTAAATTTTCATATGTACCTTATATATTATATAATATATATTATATAATACTTATATAATACTTATATATTATATATTAACGCTAAAAAGTTTTGTGACAAAACGGAAGAAAAAGAATGTTAAAAACAATGATTTATCATGTTGTCAAACAGATATCATTGTGCGTAATCCTATATTATATTATATAATACTTATATATTATATATATAAGTATTTTATATAATAGAGAAATGCATAAATAGTGGATTTCTATTTTATTTGTCAAGAATAATGGAAAACAAATATTTTTATGTACCACAGCTAAACTGATTAAAAATAAAATATGACAAAACGAGAAAGTTTGAGTAATCAATATATTGCGATATATTTCGCATTTTATTACATAAGATGTATTTATGTTAGCGTAAGATAAAAAATTCGATTCTATAGTTGCTGTTATTCTATGTAATAAATATGACTTTTATAATTTTAAGAACATTACTTTCCGATTAATTTTCGCAACATCAGGTATATATTAGTCACAGGTCGATTCACGTTTTTCATGCTCGTGAGCATCATTTGTCCTTATTTAATCTTAATAAAAGTATGAAAAATAATTCCAAAAGCGCTGTGAATCGGACCGCGGCTATTATTTTTACTTAATTTAATAATAATTAAATAGTCTTTAATAAAGAAATGAATCAAAAAATAAAATTTTTTAATTTTTCTTCGTTATTAATTAAAAATTGTGATCAAATAATTATAATTTTCGACTTTATATAATATATGCATTGTCCGCTGTATTGTATGGATTCCGAGAGAAAGCAAAAATTTATTAGCTGCCATTTCTTAAAAATATTTCCACGTGTAGATTTAATCGCAAATAAATCGCAATTACATAATAAAAAACAAATTAATATCTATAAATATCTTAATATCGATTAAATTAGTATTTATACCTTTTGTCATTAAAACTAAGCATTAAGCATAAGTCATAACGCTGACCTAACATTTTCTTTGAGTCAAGCCATTATATTTATTTCTATATATTTCAACTCTATGAACACTATTTCTCTCCTTTTCTTTAAAGAAAAGAAAATTATCTTATTTCTAAAATAATTTTTACAACACATATAAACAATATTTTAAAGTTGAAATTTAATTAAAATTTAATTAAAGAAATAAGAATAAAAAATGGGGTATATCAAAATTTTTACTTGTTTTGATTTATACTTTTTATATTATATTTTATTATTGAAAAACTGTTTTTTATTATATGCAATATAGGCATATGATATAGCATCAATTTATTGAATTACATAAAAATGTTTTAAGTCTGCATTTTATCAGATTTTGTAATATTTACAGATACTGTGATTAAATATTTGAAATATTATCGTGTTTGATATACTTGCCAAATTTGTTTTAAATTCCTTATTTGTAAAAAATATTTATACGATTACTATCTATTTCGCGATCCTTAATTTCTACTTGATAAAATTACTGACGCGTTCCAGTAAGGTAAAAAATATAATATTACCTGAGAACGTATTAATTTCTATAGTGTCATTTGAATATTAAAAAAGTCTTCAAAGTTGCTCGCCTGATTATAAAAAAAATCTATCCAGCTAATATTATATATATGTATATATGTATATGAGTATATTAAATAATTTCAAATGAGATTCTTTTATATGCTATTATGTTGGTCGGTTTTTATACGTATATGTATAAATTGCGCTTATGAGCAAAGGAAGGCACGCGTAAATAATTGTAATTCTTTAAGATTTGATTATTCTACTTTTTCATTTGTTCTCAATTTTCAATTGCACAAAGGCGAAATAAATTCGCGCTTATGAGCAAATGAAGGCACACATCCCTGGCGAAAATTCTTTTAGAATACTTTATATAATTTTTTAGAATTTTCATATCAGAATTCTGTATCAAAATTTTTTAAAATTCCTGTACGATTTCGAAATTTTTTAGACAGTTTGTCAGATATTTTATACAAAATACGAGAAATATTGAAGAAATCTACATTTTTTTCTAAAATTTTTATATATAATTCTGAAATATTCTAAGATTTTTTTATTCTTTAATTTTATTCTATAGTTAGAATTTCTGAAGAAAATTTATAAAATCTAAAAAAATTTAAGGCATTTTTCAGAAATTTTTATAAATTTAAAATGAATATGACAAGTTCTTAAACATATATTATGAGATATTATGAAAAATTTTTTCACCAGAGATAGAGGATTATAATTCTTTGAGATTCCATTGTTTCATTCTATCATTTCTTTCCAATTTTCATTGTAAAGAGGCATATTAAATTCATAAAAAAATTTCTTTCATCGGCAAATATGCAACCAATATCAACAAGAATAACGGCAATATATTATAAAATGTAATATATTAATAATATGTAATGTAATATATTATAAAATAATATATTACAGACACAAATTGTAGTCAAAATTAGCAATACTATAATAATATTTGGAATACAAATATTAATTTTATCAAGAAAAATAATTTTATGAATATCATAAATGTATAAAACTATTATATTCTTAGGATTCTTGAGAAATAAATAATTACTAATTTAATTGACAAACCTAAAATGACATATGACATGATCGTTTAATCATAAGAATAAAAAATCTTTTTTTGTATACGCGTGTTAAATACACTCTCTAAAAATTCTTTTTAAATAAATTTATGATTATAAATAAATTATAATTATAAATTTATGATTATAAATAAATTATTGAAACATTAAATCTAAAACAATAGATTTAATGTGAAAGAGAAAGATTTATTAAAAAGTGACTATCATATTTTCAATGATAGCCCTAATTCTTAATATTAACGTTCATCTTTTTAGTCATTATTCTCGCTGATATATCTTCATATGCAATCTCTCAAAATTTGTGATTTTCATAATCCACCATTTAAAGTTTCGGAAATGTCTATTGTAAGAACTGCTTTGTTTTGTACTCAATTAATGTCATTCAGACAATCAGGGCAACATGTCGTCAACTTCGAAAAAATATTTGCTCATATTTTTATTTGGAAGATGAAGGTGCCTAATGGCTTCCTCTAATGTCTCTCGAAAGACACTCGTGTTACTTTAAGAGACTTGCATAGGGTGCCGAAGGCAGTTTTTAAATTTCGTTAATCTATCATCAGCTCAAAATGGACCGCACCAATTTTGTCGTTACGACTGTGCTTAATATTTTTTGCCCACGCTTTGCATTCGACATTTATCAAAATTCCAGCTGAAAATGAAAGATGAATGTAATTTAGTTTGTGTTTTTTTATTTTTATTTTTTCATTACTCTAAATAATAAGTATACTTTAATATAATAATAATTGCTAAACTGAAACAAAATAGCAGTGATCTTATTATAAATAAATAAAATAAAATGAATTAAACACTCTATAGGAGCAACTCATTATTTTTAGTAACACATATCATAAAAATTTATTTTCTGATTTTTATTTTTAAATCAACAAAACTTTAAAGAAGATTTGAAAACGGATTTATATAAAGTGAATAATAGAGATGCAGCCATATATAATCTTCTTGCATTGTATGCTAGTAAAAATAATAGTTTTGTTCTTAATTAATACACAGTATAGTATTTAATTCATTTTATTATTAATTTACTTCATTTTGTTCATTATAAAATGATTATTTAATTTTAACTTCCCAAACATTTCAGCACCCTTATATTCATAATACGCACATATTATACTTACTTCGTGGTCTGACAAAGTGCACTGCAACTAGTGGGCTTAGGTAACCTTCAGAATTTTCATAAGGATAAAAATAACCAGGAAAACCGTGTCGTGGCAAATAATTAATTGGTCCAATATTCTCCTGATCAGCAGGATTTTCACCTTCGCAAGATACCCAGATTGTGTTGAGCTGTAAGGAATTATTCCCTTTCAGACTAGCGATGTGTTCTTTGAGATCAAGTGGCATCTTTTCTGGTAAATGTTCAGTATCGTTGTAAAAGTCTGGTCTCCAGCCATAAATCTGATAAACAAAGATACAAAAAATATTATATATTGATTTTCATCAAATGTATAATATTGATTTTAGTTGATATTGATTATTAAAGGTGTTTAAAAGTTAGTTATTGACAATAATATTTGCCAATAAGCATCTTGTTATACAGATTATTATATATTATGATGCACGTACTTTGTTCAGCTTAAGGAAAATGCAAGGAGCGGATTTATGGTAATTATATCTGTTCTCCTTAGTGCAAGGATACCAATTTTTTACATCAACATCACAAACTTTTCCAGGTGGCGGCGGCTGATTATAATCGCATTTGTTAATGTTAGCGCCAAGACCAAGAACAGACCCAGGGGTTATATAATCTGAAATAGTATACGAAAAATTATAATCGATAATTATATTTGGCAATTAAAAAATTAAATATAGAAATTAATTAGGAAAGAATAATGGAAGTATGCAAATGTAAGCATCCTGATTGATAGATAAATTTCTTTATTTATTATGAATAATTACCTTTTAAGAAATTTTGTAGTGAATCAACCCAGTGTTTGAAATTTTCGTTGTCGGTGCCTTTATACCAAATCAAAGTACTCTCCACATTCTCTGTCGGTGGCATTGGTCTAAATCCCAATCCTGTATATATAAAGCATAATTTCGTTTCCTTTAAGAATTGCAACATATTCCCATATTTTAATTTTTATATTTTATATTTTTTATGCTAATTTTATTATTTTATACTAAAAAATATAGATTACATAAATAATTCTATAAATAATTAAAAATAGTTACGACAGTTATTCAATATTTTAAAAAGTAGAGAGCTTAACCATTTATACATATCGATCTACTATTAATAAAAGATAATACACTAGTTTAATAAAAAAATTATTTTAAACCAAATATTTCTTATAAATTTTTGAATGTATATATAAATGTATTATAAATACTATACTACAAATCAAATTCCACACTATATCAGTATATCAGGTTTCCAAAATAATTAAGACTAATCAAAATTTCAAAATAATGTTAACCTTTTTTATTAAAAAATTTTAAATATCGTAAAAAATCATTTTTTGCACATTAAACCTCAATTATTTTGACAATCTGACACTATGCATTGGTGCAATTTAGCTTGCGCATTTTTACCATTTAAAAATTTATAAGAAATACCTTATCTTCAAAATAATTAAAAAAAAATGTTTTTTGTAAACTAGTGTAATTTACCTGGATTTGTTCCAATAATAGACCTTTCGAGTTGCCATCTCGGTATCCTTGGATCGAGTGTTTGAAAGAATCCCCAAAAACAAATGGCAACGAGCGCCGCCAGAACACCATAGAATATCAGGTAAAAAAGTCCAATTTTACCTATGTAGAATAAATGTAAATAATTAACAACGTATATGTAAATTAAATTAAAATAATTAAATTATAAGATAGGATAACTAAAACTGCATTCCGAACAGCATTAACTCTTTACTCGTTCGCAAAAAATATCGAAAACTTTCCATTAGAAGGCAATTTCGATCAACTTCCGATTAACTTAATCAGCAGATAATGCAATCGACAGAATCATTTAAAATAAAATTCTTGTTTATATAATTTGTCGGCCTTGATCTAATATTTTTGCATGTTAAACAATCAAAAATTAATAATTCTATGCATATTAATAAAACAGGTATTACTTGATGAGCTAATCATTGATTAAATTAATCGAAGTTTAGTGAAAGTCATTGTTACGAATCTTCGATATATATAAATATATGTGAAATATATGAATTAGAAATATATATATATAAATATATGTGAAGTCTTATTGTATTACGTTATTATATTTTAGTATGTTTACTTTCTCAAGTAAGTATTTTTCTAAGTATAAATATTAAACAACAAGTGTTAAATATATTTTCTTAAGGGATCATTTGAATTTTTAAGCACATATAGATAAAAAATATCTCAAATATGTAATACAATAGCTTTAATCAAAACATGCTGTGCGAAGTATTTGCAGTCGCATGTACAGAAAAGCTGATTCTCGTACGCAAGTACTTCCTATAATGTAGGTTAATTGTATTAACCGCGGATTCAATTCGTAGAGGAAGATCAAAGCGTCTGGTCAAACGGTGCAATTCAATTACGCGTTGACGCGTTTTACGACGTTGTTTTGTGGACATCTATCAAGTAGGGTTGCCCGTGATAAAGCTGTGTACACACATAAAGGAACACTATTGTATTCGATATTAAACGTAACACACTATTTTTTTAAGAATCTAAATATTTTTATTTTATGTATATGTTAGGATATATTGCATAAATATATTAGGTGTTGGAATTAATTCGTAGCGTTTTTAATGAAAGAATATTATTTACTTCACATGAGCATTAAAAAATACATTAATGAAAGTACTTCCCATCACTTGTAAAACGCTACGAATTAATTCCAACACCTAATATATTTATGCAATATATCCTAACATATACATAAAATAAAAATCATTAATTATTAATCGTGAATAACAACTGATATTTAAATTTGATATTTAAGCTTAATATTTATATAAACAACTAAATATTTGAACTTATCTATAATAAGTTTTTAAATAAGATAATTCATGCATTCCAGAGAAAAAATATTTCATATATAATTGTATATAATTATATAAAAAATTGACATATTTTGTATATATATATATACAATTAT